TTGAGAGATTTTGTATATTTATTTTAAAAATAAAATTTTTATAATTTTTTTATATAAAAATTTATAATGATATACATCTAAATTATCATAGTAAAATAAATTTTTAATTTTATTTATAAATATGGATATATTTATTAAATTACGTAAAATTTTATATTTTTTAACATTTTTGTTATTATTATTATTAGGAATCAAGAGTCTCTTTTTCGCCCACTGCACATCAAACAAACTCAACTTTTTTAAGGGGGGAAAAAAGTACAATTACCTGATTTTGCTCACACTTTTTTTTAAAAAACGATTTTTTATTCTGTTTTCTTCCGACACCCACCGCTTATTTCTACCATTGATTCGTTTATATCTTAAAATTTTCTAAACTTTCTTTTGAAAGATATGAAAAAAATAAATATATATACAAAACTATACAATAGTAATAAAATATAATTTTAGTTGCTAAATGTTAAATAAATGTCATGTAACTTATTCATTTAATATTAATAAAAATTACTATATGGCTAAGGATTCAAGTGGTGAATAGATAATGTTGAGTATATATATAGGAGGAATTAGTAGTGTGTTTTTATAGTCAAATGTATGATGCAGGATAGAAAAAAAAATCCAATAGTGATAGTGTCAAAGTTCATAATTATACTAAATATGATGTGAAACATAATTATTAATCAGTTATTTACGATACACACATTTTTAATATTTTATTGAGTTAAAAATTATCTCATGATTATTTATTGTAAATGTACAGAAAAAATTAAAATTACTCGATACAATTGAGTTACTATAAGATGTGATTGATGTGATAATCTGTAACAGCCCCGGAAATTTAAAATGAAATGTATATTAAAAATATCAAATGCGGAAGCGAAGTCAAAATTCGAATAACATCCCTTACACTAAAACCAAAAACGTGCTCACAAAATATAAAAAATCAAACTACCTAAAGGAGAAACTTGAAAGTAAAAGCTACGAATATGACTATGGAGTCTTTAGGCGTCCCCTTCGTCGTCCTCCTGCGGAACCGGCTCGGGAACGATGTCCTCTTGATCTGAAATGATTAAATAATGAATGAGTTACACTAGCCCAGTAAAGACATCACGATATCCCACCGTCACGGAGGTAAAGGTGGGTAGAAAACATAAAAAGACCAATGTAGCATAATTTACAACAAATTCTTTTATCAATAATAAATCCTTCACCATCCACTTACCTCAATGGAATCCATAAAACAGTATACGAAAGCAATAACATTATCATCATCATGAAATCATATATGAACTGTATAACATAATACTTATCAAGCCTTTTGTAATTCAATCGTTACACAACATATTTTTCCTCTTTTACCAGTCCACTAGTATCCATGGGGATCCATAGGGGTCCCGCTACCCGTTAACCCTTAACACTTGAAATCATATTCCAGGGCCGTCCCCATACCCCGCTCGGTATGGGCGCCAAAACTATAAACCTCATTACCCCCTCCGGTATGAGGGTGAAACGGGCCGTCCCCATACCCCGTCCGGTATGGGCGCCAAAACACATAAAATCTCCATACCCCGTCCGGTATGGGAGACCACAATCCCGGTAGGGTTCCCTACGAACCCGGTCCGTCCACCATCTCCCAGGATATCTAGTCAGGCTGACCACATTATACAATTACCCATTTACATAATCTATCATTCTCTTCTCCCTCAGTCAACATCATCAATCCACATACAAACAAGCAAAACAGTAATTTATGCCAAACAGACAGACATACAGCATCAATATCCCAATCATTCAATCCATAATCGGTAAAACAGTAAAATATGCACACGAAACTATAAAATGAAAACATCAAACCTCATACTGCTTTTAAACTGTAAAACATGGCAAATAACAATTAACCGACAACCACATTAGACTAGGGCTCCATTAGCGACCTTAAGCAATTTTACACATTCGTTGATTCATGAAATACCGTTTTATCATTTATGACTTTAATACCGTGATAGAAATAGGTGAGGGGTCCTTACTCGTTTCGGGGTCCGAACACGGCTTCACAGTGCGCTACAGGCTGTCCCTAATTTTCCTGAATTTTTTTTTGGGGAACTGAAACGCACTACTGGTACCTGCACGTGTTCCAAAAAATCCCAAATTAGGCCCAGGTCCCCTTTTTGGCCAATATCGCAATTCCGGCAAGGCAGCTCCGCCGTGCTCCGGCGACGGCACCGCCGCAAGCGGTGGCGATTCACCTCGGTTTGGCCGTTTTCGGCCACACTTGCATCGATCCTTGCGATTAAACAACTTTAGGGCCCTCAGGGGGCCAAAAAATTACGGAAAACCGAAGCTTACCGGCGGCCGTGCTCGCGGGTGCGGCGGCTCTCCGGTGAAGTTCGTGTTTTGGTGATTCGGCTCCGATCAACCTGTAGAGAAAAGAATGGTGATCAGGATGATATAAAAATTGCATTAAACGGAGGCTGGGAAGGGCCTCATCGGAGGCAAAAACCGAGAAAGGGCGCGGCGGCGCCGCTGGGTTTCGGCCGTGTTTTCCGGCCGTTTGGTCGGGATTTTGGCTCCAATTTGGCCACAGGGGAAATCAGCGTGGAAAAACGAGTCGGGGGTATGAAATTTACCTCGATCAGCGAACAAAAATCTCTCCGGTGCAACGGCGGGTGGCGGCGGCCGGCTTCTAGTTCGTCTTCTCCGGCGAGGGCAGGCGGCTAGGGTTTTGTGGTCTGGTGTGGGGGTCTTATTTATACCCTTTTGCCTTTTGATCTCAGCCGTCCATTTTGATTTAATCTGAACCGTCCGTTTTTTGATTGAATCTGGGCCGTCCGTGCGATTGCATCTGGGCCGTCCGATCGCACGTTTGATCTGGGCCGTCCGATCGCGCATACGCGGATCGCCAACGTGGCCCGTTCCGGATCGACGTGGTCTTGCCACGT